GTGTATCGAAGGAACTCATTCGGGCTCAAGGATTAGAGCTAGTGAGAAGGAAAATTCATTCAAGTTGCTCAGGTATAATAATAAACGCGTAGTAATATCATGTACCGGAATGATGTGGGAATCCCAGAGCCAGAGTATGATGTTTTGACCACGTCTGAGGACCTAAACGTATCTGCCTGCATGTGTAAAACAGTGGTCCTAGTAGTATGTGTGTGTGTGTGTGTGTGTGTGTGTGTGTGTGTGTGTGTGTGTATGTATGTGTGTGTATGTGTGTGGGGGGGGGGGGGTGTGTGGGTGTATGTTGAACTCGTATACCGTTTCACTGCGCAAAAATTAATAAAAATCCCTGAAAAACCCGTTCCCGAGCCATGAAATTTATTTTTTATTCTTTAGAAACTTCTTTCCTTTCACTGGCGAAGATTTCAGAGTGGTGTGATTTACCATTGTTGAGCTATTTATAAAAAAAAACGAACGTTATTATTTAAGCTTTCCGATTATTGCGAACCTTTAAATATTTCAAAAATCAATAACTCATGAAACGAACACCGTAGAAACAAACTTAAGATGTGAAATTATTATGAAATTATATCAGCAATCCATTAAAAATATCATCTTAACTAGTTTTCTTACATAAAAAGGTCACACTGGAGGAGAAATGTCAAAAATATTAAAAAAAAATCAAAAGAAATTAGGAAAACTCATTTTCAGCGAGATGAAAACTTTTCTTTACTTGAAAACTTCTTTTCTTTCAATAGTGAAAATTTCAGCGTGGTATTGTTTACAGTTTCTGAGTTATCGTCGATAAACTAATCACAAAAACAAACAAAAAACGATTGGTGGCATATGACTTACTTTAAGTTTCACCAACATAGCTCAAAAACGGTAAAAGATACCACTCTGAAAGTTTCAGTTGTGTTCATCACTCTATTCCTTATTTCTTTTGATTTTTTAAAATATTTTTAGTATTTTTCCTTGACTGTAATTTTTTTGTTAGAAAACAAGTTATGATTATATTTGTAATGGTTTGCTGAGATAATTTCCTAACAATTTCACATAACAAGTTTGTTTCTACCAAGCAAAGGCGAGAGGAAGGCCTCATGCCTAAGTTTCGAAAGAAATATTTTATTTCTTTACGTGTATGGACTCAATTTTCAAAGAAAATTTCACTGACAAGGCATCAGCTAACAGAAGTGTAATCCTTCAGGCACAAAAGACATTGATGTCGCTGCCGCTGCAAATTCACAATTGCCATAATATCAAATTCAAGCTTGTTAAAAGATTTTTGCTCTTCAAAATGAAAACTAACAGAGTTCATAAAATGAGGAAAAGAAAATTTGATAGCCGAAGTAGGGGAATTTACGTATTCTCGGCAACCTAAGCAGCGACCTTCTTTCTATAGCCTTTTTATGGAACGCACACATATGCAGTATTGGTTTGTTTACAATCTTTTGCTGCCAGCTGCTCTAACAATTTCAGTCGAAAGAATTGTCAAAAACTGTTTTGAAACGCTTTTACAAAGCTCCAATCTTCTCTAGTGAGAGCGAGTATTGTCGGCAACCAGTTTTTCTTCGGCAACCGTTCCATTTGAACTGCATGTAAATCTGCTGTTCTATTATCGGCAACTCGAAATCAGCTACAATTTGTAGTGCGTGTGTTTCATTTCAAGAAAACCCTGCTAGATTGCTTTTTCTCAGTGGTAAAAATATAGTCAAATTGAAGCTGAAAGCATAAAGAATCGTTTGCATGCATTCAGCGAAGTGTTTTCGTAAGAAAATCCAGTGAAAATAGTGTTTCAATTTGGGTTGCCGAAAATAGTCTGTCATGCCGAAGCCGTCATTTCCCCTATGTTGAGTTTTTTTGAGCTGAAATTTTGTTGTTACCAACTGTTATGAAATGATGAATAAATGTGTGAATATTTTAAGCATTTCCTTTATTTACCAATAACAATACATCACATTAACAAACAATCCCATAAAGATGGTCAGATATAGACATTTGAATACCTGAGCCAAACCCGTTCCCAATTCATAAAAATTTCAAGAACCCGAACCCGACCTGACCCCTGTAATTAATGGAATTAATTTAATTACGGCTACTTCCTGTGCCGGAGTTGAAGTTTTTGCGTGCCCCTCGATGCTACCCGTACCCAAATATACCCCTTACCCGATCCGAACTCAAAAATATTTTCTTCGTATACTCGTACACGACACGAACCCGAAAATTTAGAGTAACCGTACCTGAATATCTATACAACCCCCTCCATTTTGAGAAAACTATTAAATTTACGATATAACATGCTTGATACCCTACAATTTAGCTAAATTACAAACCGATTCCTGAACTGAAGAAACGAAAATTTTGCAGTGCAAATTGTTTTCAAGCAAGAAAATATTTTGTATTCGATATCAATACTTCCCATTGATTGATGTTTTGTACTGCTGGCTCCCACTGACAGTTTGTGACAGCTCATTTCTGGCTTCACTTGACATTCACATTTTCCGAGTCTGTTTCTCCCTCCCAGGTTATAACCATATAGGTAACTCTAAGACCACTGGGTCCCGAAGAAAATCATTATTATTTTTGGCTCACTCAGTACCAGAACAACGGTCCCAAGCAGTCCCAAGCTATTTCACTCACTCCTGCATGTTCTGCATGAATCCACACACCCCTGATGTTATCTGTCAAACTTTCAAAGCGAATCAAAACAAACATAGTGTAGTAATAGAATTTCAACTAGAATAGGGTACGTTAATCGTTTGCTTGGGACCAATAGGCTACTAAAGTGGTGAGCCAATTTAAAATCGTTAGTTTCGTATTGATTGTTGTTATAACTCTGTAGTATTAACTAATAGTACGTTCAGACTATAGAGTTATAACGTGTTATAGCGCTATCTTGATGGTGGTTTCTGTGTTGCAATTAACCACTTCATTCGAGCAGATAAAACGACGTTTACTACCACTCAAACTTTGAAATGAAACATTATTTTGAGATTTTTTCTTCTAGAACGCAGTTTTGGCGTGACTTTCTACCAGCGATTTCACAAAACTGGACCAACTAATTTCTATTCTTTTATGAAACGCACAAATGTTGGCTACTTTTCTCGAGGTTCTAGAAGAAAAAATCTCAAAATAATATTTTATTTCAAAGTTCGAGTGGTAGTAAACGTCATTTTAACTGCTCGAATGTAGTGGTTAATTATTTCACAACCATTATAACATGTTATAACTCTCCAGTCTGGACAGCGTCTAATAGCGAATTTGTTTATTTTTGTCAGTGCGAACTAGAAATACTCAGAGCCTCCCTAGCGTCGGTAGCATTGGTGCTCAGCACGGAAAACTATAGTCGCTATATTCATAGTTTGGCGGATAGAATTTTGGGAACCAATTGAGCTGTCAAATAGCGGAACCAATCGAGCAAATCACGACCAACAACAGAAAATAGCATATCAACTATTTCGAACAAAACTTCGGAAACCCTTTTCTCGTGAGTCACGGCTCGCCTACGCAAACTAACGCCATCTTTGGGTTGAGGAAAGTTTCCCCTATCTAATGATGCCGGTAATTTGCGTTCGATTGGCGAGGAAAGAATAATCAACGTTTTGTTTATAAAAGTTGATAGTACCTTTTCAATTGTTGGTCTAAAATATATTGAATAGGTTCCGCTTTTTGATAGATCGAAATTATATCCGCCAGACTATGAATATAGCGACTATAGTTTGAACAGAAATACTCAAGGGCCACCCACATTAGATCCGTTTGCGTTGCGTTGACGTAAATTTGACAGTTAGACAATACATTTAGCTGTCACCTTGCCGCAACGCGTCCGATCCGGATCTAATGTGCGTGGGCCTTCAGAGGGAGAGATGTGCGGAGAAAACAAAATACAAGAAGGAATTTGTACCTAAATTATCTTGCAACCCTTCCCTAATAAAAATAACCATGAAAGAGAGCTTAACGACGTGTTCGGGGTATCATCCGAACCATTTGTGGGATAGTTTATCCATCCGGGATATAGTTCGTTTATGGTATTTGTTTATTAGGGTTGCTAGAAGCTAGCATTTTACATGACTTTTATTTTTGATTCGACTTACGTGCAAAATAATAATTGATTGCATCGCAATATTTTACACATTTCTTGCTGCCATTAATTAACCAACTAAGATCAATTAATCAAGAGTTAGAATATTGTTTTTGATTCCAAAACCTAGTTAAATTTGAGAAGCACACGAAACATAAAGGTGATTGAATTTGTGTTCGATTGCAATACTTTCAAATTTAATCTAGTAAGAATAAGAAATCCTCGGAAAATTCTAATGGGAATGTTCGATTGGTTCAAAACATTATCTCCGCCCATCTCTCCCTCTGAGTATTTCTAGTGCGAACCTCAACCTGCGGTAGGTTTTAAAAACAAACGATCGTCTTGACAAACGTATACGACCTCAAATTACCGGTTTATTTTTTTATTAATTAATTTATTAATTACCGGTATTTTTACCCATAAATATCGTAACTTTTTACTTTAAATAGGCTAATTTTTACTTTGAATTATTATGACATTTTAAACGTTAATTTGTTTTCTAGTTAACGATTACCGATAATTTAGGAATGTGCACTTTCTTCGATTATCGGTAATTTTTACAGATATTTAGGTATTATTTATCGACTTTGAGAAATGTGCGTCTTATTGTTCAGGGCAAATGTCTCCTGCATTATTTGGATGAATTGTAGTTACCATATTCGCCACCAGAGCACATTTTATGGCTATTTTATCCCTCGAATTCATATGCGTTATGAAAGTTAGTGGAATTTCCGAGTCCCAAATGAAGGAAAATTACTATCTCTCCATGAATTACGATTATTTTTACACAGGTTCCATAAAACAGAAATAAAAACTTGCCTTCTTAATACTGTATTGCCTTAACAAAAAGAATTACAAATGCTAGAGCCTAATTGTGAATATGTAGCTGACGTCCTTTCGTTGTCTCCCTTGGTCTACGCACCTTGTTTTTCCGTAAGAAATCTGCACTTTGACATAGATTTTATGAAAGTTTTACTTCACCACGCATTTCTTCAGTTTTTGCTTATATTAGAAACATAAAATGCAGATTAAAAGCAAAAACATAGCAAACTTATTATGATATATAATTGTAGTAACGAAATTCCTTTCTTTCACACGCACATAAATAACGAACTGAATTCGTCATCATAATAATCTAGTACTTTCCCAAGATATATATATTTTTATGTTTATAAAGAATCAATAATCCTTTCACGCTAATTGAAAATAACCCATTAATGAGTAGAATTTCAGCCATTTTGAAGTAATGTGTCTTAACTGATTAATGGGTAAATTTTTTACCAATTTGATACGAAACTGTTACCCATAATTGTTTTAATGATTTTAGCTAGGGGTATCCCACTCTAAACTTCTCTCATATACAACAAAAGTTCTTAGTAATATCTAAGATACCTGAAAATACCTCAAAACACTTATGAAATATCTAACGTTCACTCAGGCAAGTTGACTGGCGAAATTCATAAAATTTACCTTATGATGCCTTAATTTTTTCCTAAAACATGATTCCATGAGTCTGTTATGGGTTTCATATGGTTTGAATGACTTTTATAAGTGAAAAGGAAGAAATCTTTATGAAATACACATAATTTTCATTGGGGCGCATTATGATTTTCTTTCCTGTAACCAGTGCGAAAAAATCATAAAATTAATCTTATGAAAAAAAGGTATGGCGAACATTGTATTGGACGAATTATGGCTGATCGCAGTTAATTTTAATGTTTAATAAAATAAATAAACAATTTACTTATTGCAAAATAAAATTTAATTGCAGGTTCTGGAATCAAAACCGTTCATTTATTGACGTATAGTGAGAGCGAGTTGAGTGCTAGATAGAAGATTGGCGTAAAAGGAACGTAAGTATTCTATAATAGTATTAATAAGCTATCCCAATTAATCAAAATGAGATTTTTTATTTAATATATTTCAGGGTCTGGTTAATCTCACAATTATAAATAACGAGCTATCAGCACAAGCGGTTTCATATTCTGGAAACTGTGCCTCGGAAGACAGACAGGCGGAAGCAAGGCCGGATGCATATTTTGAACCTGAAAAATATTTCAGTCATTCCCTCACAGCAAATAACATTGGCGGTTATAGTCGCAGAGGAGGAGGTCCGTCTGAAGAAGGTTTGGCATGTATACGATTAGCATTTGTCATCGTCACAAACATGTTTTAAAATGTATCAAGAATTTATAGAAATGGCCAGAATAAAATTTATAAATTACTTTCAATGAAAAGCTAAATGGGGAATAATGCATTTTATTATAATAAATAACGGGTTCCATATTTGCGATGGATCGAATTCTATAAAGCTGATTGTAAATTTTCATAATGCTGCCTTATGAAAAAGGTATGATATCTGTTTGATGAAATTCAGTTAAATTCATAAGGCAAACTAATGAAATGCTTACCGATTTCTTGTGGCAAATAAACATAAGGCAAAACGATGAATCTCGCTAGATTTTTTACCTCAGTGTTAGTTTATTTGCTCGGTTCCTATACCGATTTAAATTGTTTGATTATTTAATGTTAGGAGATTTGTGTGTGGATATTTGTAAATTTGATATGAAATTTACATTAATTTTATTAAGGAAGTGAGCAGAGCAGCTGTATGTCACGAACAGTTTCCGGTTTAATCTGTTCGACTAGAACCAAAGAGAATTGATTCCAATCTGCTAGACATGGGGATCTTTTGTTGATTGCTCGTTTGGTTTGATTTCTATCATTTGAAAGAGCATTAGGCTCTGAACCATTTGGTGGATTATTTTAACTTTTGGTTAAAATTTGACAGATGAAAAGTTATCGATTAACCCTGCTATCCGAGCGTGGTTACTTTTGACAGACAAGAAGTTAAATTTTGACGACCGTGGCTCGAAAACCGGTCGATCGACAGCACGGGGATTTTCGAACATAAGAAATAACTTTCGAAATGTCACTTCTCTGAACCATTTCGAGGATTATTTTAACTTTTGGTTAAAATTTGACAGATGGAAAGTTATCGATTAACCCTGCTATCCAAGTATGGTTATTTCTGACAGACAAGAAGTTTAATTTTGACAACCATGGCTCGAAAACCGAACGATCGACAGCACGGGGATTTTTGAACATAGAAAATAACTTTCGAAATGTCACTTTTAACCACGAGTTGAATTTAATTCAGCAAATGGTTCACAGCCTAAGGCTCTGAACCATTTGCCGAGTTAAATTTAACTCGTGGTTAAAAGTGACATTTCGAAAGTTATTTTCTATGTTCGAAAATCCCCGTGCTGTCGATCGGCCGGTTTTCGAGCCACGGTTGTCAAAATTTAACTTCTTGTCTGTCAGAAATAACCATGCTCGGATAGCAGGGTTAATCGATAACTTTTCATCTGTCAAATTTTAACCAAGAGTTAAAATAATCCACCAAATGGTTCAGAGCCTAAGTATTGTGTTATAATCGAGGATATAATTGTACTTTCCGTCCACTAGCTTCTTAACCATGAACGGGTCCCAAGAAACACAAATGCATAGAATTCAAGTGGGACGAAACTCCCTGATTTATTCAAATTGTATCAAAAACTTTTGTTTAGTTTGATGAATTGATTTATATCTGAATAAATCCATTTCATCCGATATAATCGCGCTCAAATCTCTAAAATGAATACTATCGTTTTTTATCGATCCCATCTCTAACTATAACATGACAGATAACGATATTTGAGGACGATGAAGAAGGATCGTCCCTTCGCGATTTAATTGGGAGATTGCCGTAAAGCTCAACGCACTGCATGATGATGATAATGTTGAAATACTGCATATAAAATTCGTGAAAATAAGCGTTAAATCATAATTTTCATCAAGCCTGTGTAAAATCCTTCCAATATAACATTCGAATTGAAGAAGAAAACATCTTTACGATCAGACTGATGTGCATCTTTGACTTTTCCAGACATTCATTTCATTTCGTGGCATGTGATATACGCTGTAATGTGAACGGGGTATTAACGTATTAAGGCCTTAGAAAAAGCTAGCCTTATGCTCCATGTCCGAGTGAAGTGGGAACACTTCAAGAAGACTGGAGGAAATTTCCAAATCCTCACTCAGTGCCGTAAGTGCCATGGTTGGGGCCACGGAACTAAAAATTGCTACATACCAGCAAATATTATAAATTAACAATATGGTTCACTCTAGAGTCGGTGTATAATGAGTCACGCCAAGAGAAAAACAGTTGAACTCGCATCACGGTTTCCGAAGGATTCCCTTTCTTTTCACTTGGCAACAGAGGACTTCTACATCAACTTTAAATGACTTCTAGCGAGAACCAAAACTAACGGCTGTAGTGAATCATACCCGGGACGGGACTTGACAATCGAGCTTCTCACTCTTCTTAATGTTTTTGAAGAATGCCCTTCGGAAACTTGTGCGTGGTGTTTGACGGAGTTGACCAAGGATGCCAGGAATGTAAAATATTTATTCTATATTAATTTGGATTTTATGCGGAGTTCCTTCCGCAGCTTAGCAACATGTGCATCATTTTTGCTCAACACAATAAAAACAACCATAAACAAACAACAATATCCAACGCTTAAAACACGCAATGTACTCAATTTTCCAACTTTCCTTTCGCAAATATAAAAAAATTAACAATGCCATTCACGTCAACATTGATTCCGGCATCACTGCTAGCCAGATTGATGCGATCCCTCTGTCCTTTTTATTCCACGATTGCTACTGTCAAATCGACCAATCAGAAACTGGCTCGGATTTGACAGCAAATTGGCTCGAAATCGCTACCCGATTGTCAAGTCCCGTCCCAGAATCATACTATCAGTGATTTTGTCAAATTAACTTATCAAAAAATAGTAGAAATTCTCATTACTGATCAAAACCAAACGTATCCCATGACCATTTAATGCTCGCTGCGTGTTTATGATGATTTCTTCAATTTTATTTTATATTTCATTGCAATACCTTTCGTGGACCTTTCATAGCATCGTAATGTTTATTTACTTTGCACGATAGGTAGCCGATTTGACAGTTCAATAGGTAGACTTGGCTTCACTCTTGGCGTGACTCATTATACACCGACTCTACCTTTTCCGATAGTGGAAATTTGGTCAGCCGTTTGCAGTAGAAATTTGGGACAACAAATTTTTAAAAGTAAGTCAATCTGTGAATCGTTGAAGTTATTGTTGGTTTAATGGATCTCTTTATTGGGAAAACCATTTAACTCACATTTATATGGTTTTTCGACATTCATAGACTCCCACTGAAGATCATCACTGTTTTCCCGAAACAGTTTGCTCCATCCCATCGTCCACAACCAGCGGAACTGATGAAGTAAGTTCACTGCATCAGCTGTGGTTGTTCCGCCGGAAAAGCCTAATTTGGACTTCAAACGGAAGGTCTCCAACGGGGAAGAATCATAGAGGTAACTCTAAGACTAGAAGGTCCCGAAATAACGTGCTCAACTTTTTGGCTCAGCTCTGGTACTCTCTTCGGTCCCAAGCTAATCGATTCACCCTTCGAAACATAGGAAAAACCAATAACCCCTCATTTTATCTGTCAAACTTTCATAGCGAATCAAAACAAACATTGCGTAGTACTAGAATTTCGACTAGAATATGGTACGTTAATCGTTTGCTTGGGACCAATAGGCTACTAAAGTGGTGAGCCAATTTAAAATCGTTAGTTTCGTATTGATGCTGTTTCGTTAGATCATCGATTGAAAATTGAATTTCTCTAGTAGGGCACCAGATTCACACGGAACATGTATTACGCTACCCTGGAGTGGTGCTGGGAATTTGTTAAAAAGGCTCCGTTTGCCAAAGTGTCACTTCCTTTATATCATAAATGGCATTTGACGATGCGATGAATGGCATACGAATAAAAAAGTGATTTTTATTTATTGATTTATATGATGAATATACATAATAATTAGAAATGATAAGAATATGAGTTTGAATACTTTCTTTTTAAGCTTAAGAACTCTTAATTTGAAAATAATTTCATTTTGCGATAAAAATAAATATTAAACGGCATCATTTGAAGTGAAACAATTCATATGTCATTTTAAAAACCTTGGTTTTTATTTTGACGGTTCTACAATTTGATTCAAAAGCTTCAACTTTTAAAATTAACAATGAGGGAAACTTTTAATTTGACAAGTTTCAGCTTTTTATTTTTAAAGCTCTGTACTTTCTACCAAAAAGAACCAATGATAACTTTTAATTCTAACAATGTTTTTTTTCAATTATATTAACGATAATTTTTTGTGTGTAATAACAAAACCTACAAAAGCTCTATATATAATTTTGCGGAATGCTGTTGATGAAAAAAGTTAGAGGCAAATGAATGCAAATGATTTTCCATGTCTGGTTGGGTCGAATCTCTCGTTCCTTTTTTGACAACTCAAAATTAAGTCAAATAATTCAAGTAGGGTAAATGATGGCTTCGGCAGCCATCGACTGTTTTCGGCAACCACAATTTAAACGTTAATTTCGATGTATTTTCTTACTAAAACACTTCGCTGAATGTATTTAAACGATTCCTTAGTCTTTCAGCTTCAATCCTAATACATTTTTACGACTGATAAAACCTGTAATGTCAGGTGTTTCTTCAAAAGAAACATAAGCACATCAAAATACGGCTGATTTCGAGTTGCCGATAATAGAACAGCTGGTTAACACGCAGTTTAAACGGAAAGGTTGCCGAAGTAAAAGAGGCTGCCGACAATAGTCACACTCACCTGCGAAGTTTGGAGCGCCTTAAAAACGTTTTCAAACCGTTTTGGACAGTTTTGTTGATTGGAATGGATAGAATAGCTAGCAGCAAATGAATGTAAACAAACAGACACGTCATATGTGTGCGTGACACTGAGAAAATGCTAATAGAAGTGCGGAAGCTGCTTAGATTGACGAGAATACGTAAATTCCCCTATTTTTTCTCCGTGAATTAAATACAATAACAAAAAAATTGTTTTGGCAGCTCTGCAAAGGGGTCCCAACTTTTTTCGTGCGTATAAACAAATCTGGCAATGTGGCATCGCTGATTGTCACTGTTCGCTGGTCAGCTCGGTTGTCAGTTAACAGCATACACAGATATAGTTGATTTTGCGGATGTTGCGATCTAGTGAAAATTACAAATTTCGGTGATTTTTGCAATGATGAATAATAAATGCTACATTATCATTTAATTTAATTGCAAAAGATCTTATTGTCACAAGTGGCTTCATCGGCAATTTTTTTTTTCATTTTAAAGTGATCTGATTTGTTGCACTGTTGACTTGAATTTATGATGGTTTTAGATACTAACGTGATCCAATCAGTCTCAAAGATGTCGGAAATCCAAAACGCTCCAAGTTCTGCTTCATCGGATAGGTAAAGTAGTATTAAATAAGTAGTACATATAAAATTTGTATGTTTGATTCTTAGTTCGGTTTCTCTTTGGGTGATATCTGGGACGGGACTTGACAATCGGGTAGCGATTTCGAGCCAATTTGCTGTCAAATCCGAGCCAGTTTCTGATTGGTCGATTTGACAGTAGCAATCGTGGAATAAAAAGGACAGAGGGATCGCATCAATCTGGCTAGCAGTGATGCCGGAATCAATGTTGACGTGAATGGCATTGTTAATTTTTTTATATTTGCGAAAGGAAAGTTGGAAAATTGAGTACATTGCGTGTTTTAAGCGTTGGATATTGTTGTTTGTTTATGGTTGTTTTTATTGTGTTGAGCAAAAATGATGCACATGTTGCTAAGCTGCGGAAGGAACTCCGCATAAAATCCAAATTAATATAGAATAAATATTTTACATTCCTGGCATCCTTGGTCAACTCCGTCAAACACCACGCACAAGTTTCCGAAGGGCATTCTTCAAAAACATTAAGAAGAGTGAGAAGCTCGATTGTCAAGTCCCGTCCCGGGGTGATATCATTGTTATCCTAATCAGATCATAATCGTAATGTGAAAAAATAAAATACATACCTCATATGTAGGTATTTGTATTGTATTTTACATTTTGTGATTTATTTAGGTAACATTATGCCTGGTGCGTAAATGTTTCGTCAGGGTAAGGGATTGGGTCACGTCTTTTTTTTTTCAAGTAAAACACGTTTCTTCTAAAAATAGAGCACGTCTTTCAGTGATGTGAAGCATTGATGTAATTCTGTCCCTTTGACTACATGTCTGAAGTACAATACATAGTATAACTAATAATCCAAGGAAAACCAACCGGTCAATTTTAGTTGTTAGGATGAAGTCTAATAATTGTCGTCTCCATTTTAGCGATTTTACTGAACAGAAGGAGTGCATCGAAGATCCATTCAAAGCCACGGGAATCATCGAGTGCGATATCCCGAAATCTGGAGATGTATTAACCGAATGTTGTCCAGCATCCCCAACGACAGTGCCTGCCAAATCGAATAGGTCTAATTCGTCTGGTTCGCAAATTCGTTCACCGAAACCTCGCCGACAGCGAACAACATCCGTGAATCAAAACACGATTAATTCAAACGAAGCAATAATTCGTTCCAACAACAGAACAATTTACACAGCTGGAAGACCTCCCTGGTACAATTGCGCGGGCCAACAAGTCGAACCGTTCGTAATTGGTGAGAAATATGTAATGATAGCGATGTTATTTTAATTATTATCATTGTCATTATTTTTTCAGGTATTTGTGGCGGCAGTGCTTCCGGAAAAACTACAGTAGCACAGAAAATAATTGAAAGTTTAGATGTACCATGGGTCACGCTGTTGTCAATGGATTGTTTCTATAAAATCCTAAATCAGAAACAGCATGAACAAGCTATTCGTAATGAATATAATTTTGATCATCCGGACGCGTTCGATATAGAACTAATGAAAGATGTACTTCAACGCCTAAAGGAAGGTCGTAAGGTTGAAGTACCTGTTTATAATTTTGTCAGCCATTCTAGAGAATCGCACACGGTAAGTACCTATAGTAATAACTTTATATAATCTTAAACCAGAGGTTGCACAGACTAAAACACTATACTCACTATACTATATGCTAATATACATACTATACTTTTGTTGATTGCGATCCACTTTAAGAAATTCGAAGAAATTTGCTCGCGACCCAGTAACGCCAATTGAAAACAGATGTTGTAAGGTCAAAACTGTATGATTGCTTGAAACTCAAAATCAAAATTGCATTGAAATCTTTGACTAAATTTAATTTTCATACTTCTCAATTAGGCAAGAAGCGAACAATTTTTATGTGAAATTCTTTCATTAATATTATTGTGTGACAAATTCAATCATACGCTAACTATGATGCCTAGGACCAATCCACGGCTAAAAGTTTCGATGATAAAAAAAAAACTAAAATAAATTCTATGCCCAGGGAAATCCAGAAATTTCTCAACTCGAAAAATTCCTAGACCGGACCGGGAATCGAACCTAGCCACCTTCAAAACTAGCTTTGCTTGTAACTGCGTCTTTAACGACTGATCTAAGGGAGACACCAGTAATGGATCGCTCTTTTGGGACTTTGTCATTAATTTTTAATATAGAATGCTTACGTTAAATCCAGTTGAATGTTCATTTAACTCATCTTAAAATAGATAGTTTAATTAATAGCACTATAATCTCTCTATCAAAATGCAAAATTTCCACGCGGTGGATCCACACTTTGTGTTTTCACTGAAGATGCACTTGAGAGCGCTCCCAAGTGCACCTTCAGTGAAAACACAGAGTGTGTCTCTGCGGTGCTGAAATTTTGAATTAAATAGCACTAAACTATTTATAGTGCTTTCTCTATTTTGTCTACCCCCGATTTTGACAGCTTTTTTCCCGATTTTGTCAGCTTCTTTTCCCGATTTTGTCAGCCTGCAGATTTCACTAAATTTTTGAGTTATTAAACATGAATTCTCAAACTTTACGCTGTGAATAATTTTTATTCTTACACTTTGCTGAAATGTAAATGGTAGGGGTTGCGGGGATAAAATATTCATACGGTGTAAAATTAACAATTGACGATTTTAAGTTCTTTTTCATTAAAATATCAATCAATCCAACGTACAGGTCTTTCATCCAATGTACCTTTTACATTTTAATTCATTTTCATTAATTTAATATTCTCCTACTAGGAATTATTAGTTTTGAATTGCTGTTTGCTGGAAAAATTATTTTTGCCACGGAAAATGTGTTTCTTTTTTTGCAATTGTAATAAAAACATTGCTTCATTGTCAGCAACATTTTATTCTTAGAAAATAAAAAAAGATCATTACATATTTCATTGAATTGTACATAAAAGTTTTGATTGACTTTCAATTTTCAAGAGATTTCGTCATCCAAAATTCTCGAATTCAACGGAGATAAATAACATCGTCAATTGAAAGGGACAATGCTTCAAACTAATCAGCCCTATAAGTTTTTGTTTTGGATTGTCGGAGAGGCAGTTTGGATTCCGGAAAGGGAGATCAACGGTGGATGCGATTCGGACAATGGTCGAGAGAGCCGAGAAGACGTCCAAACAGAAGCGAAGAGGAGATCGATATTGCGCCGTGATAACGATCGACGTCAAGAATGCGTTCAACAGCGCAGCAGCTGGAAAAGCCATTGCTAAAGTGCTGCATAGAATGAGGGTTCTTGACTACCTTTGCAGGATTCTGATCTACGAGACAGACATGGGACATAGATCGATTAGGATCACAGCGGGAGGTCCACAAGGCTCAATCCTTGGTCCAACGCACGCCTTCGCCTCGAAGCGCGTGTTGAAATACCTGGGAGTGATGATCGATGACCGGCTAAACTTCACCAGCCACGTCGAATATGTCTTTTTTTTTTTAATTCTTTATTAAAGAGATTTTTAGCCTTAGGCTAGTTCATCTCTAATCGAATATGTCTGTGAGAATGCTTCGAAGGCTATCAACACAATAGCTGGAGATCCAGCCTGGTTTGCAGCACTGGAAACGATGCAGACCCAAAGGAATCTGAGCAGTACGTTTCGGCTCAAGGCATGCGAATCGTGAGTGCATACATAGCCATCTCATCGGAAGCAGTATGCGCTATCGCTGGAATGATCCCTATCGGCATCACCCGGCGGAGAACAGCGAGTGCTACAGTTGGAGAGAAGCCGGTAGAGTACGGGAAGTGGTGCGGAGTCTTTGGCAAAGTGGCAATAGGAGTGGAACACGGTGGATAACGGTTGGCATGGACACATCGATTATTACCGATTCTTTCAACCTAGGTGAGCATAAAACACGGAGAAGTCAACCACCATCTGACGCAGTTCCTGTCTGGCCACGGCTGCCTCAGGAAATACCTGCATCGGTACGGACACGCAGCGTCACCCCTCTGTCCGCAGTGTGGCAACGTGAATGAAACGCTGGAGCATGTGGTTTTTGACTGTCAAAGGTGCAAGACAGTGCGAAGGGAGATGTCTGTCCTTAATGTGGAGAATTTCGTCGAAGAAATGTGTCCAGAGGAAGACACTTGGAATGGAGAGATGAGCAGTGATCTAGCACCGCCAGCTAGCACTGGGAGTATGAGAAGTACATGAGCACAGTCCCCTCGAAGTAGTCGCTTCACCGTGGTCCCGGGGGATCCAGGCAGAGGAGAGAGTAAGGAATAGGTTTTAGTGGAGCAACTAGTGGATACCAACCCGTGCCAACTTCGATACAGGTCTGGCTTTTTGACCCCCTCCCTATTTTCTCTGCTTTGAAAGTTGATACATATTTCATTATCGTCAAAGGAAAATTGATTCAATAATTCTAGTTATTTGATCGCTGCCTCTGGATAGTGGGTTTGACGGTGGTTCAGCAAGAATAATATGTAATTCATATACAAATATTGTGAAATATGTTTTTAGTCCTTTTAAGATTTTTGGTGGGTCACACCTCCGACATGGTTGCAGCAACAGTGTTGCATGAACTAACAACAACTGCCTGCCTCTGAGGTCGGGGGACCGGCAGCGCTCACTACGGGTCTATACTAACATCACTCTAACACTAACAAGACCCCGAAACTAACGACTATCCACATCTGTTAGTGGTCCCTCATTTAATGTGTCATCACTGTCACCCTTAGTTATTTTCACTCTAACAAGTCAATACTTTTTACCACTTGTTGCAACCCAACAGTTAGCCCTGTTATACTTTGATATCTTTTAGTCTAATAGATTCTTCTTCCACATCCGATCCCATTTCACCACTCGTAGCAAGTTTTGTTAGATTGTCTTGATCTCTTCTAGTCTAATAAATTACTTTTCCACATTCTGTCTCATCCTCTTGCGCACAACAAATAAACAAGTAAACAGACACAATAAATGGGTTACAAAACATGTCCACTAATAGTATTTAACCTTAGCTTTCTTTCTTTCCATAACACAATGAACGAGTGAGACATACGGAAATGCAACAAACGTGTCAAATTAACTGCATTGGTAACGAAAACACAGAGGAGCGTACACCTGATGTCACACACTAAGGTGATGGTAATAAGGTCGGTGATAATATGACATATACACAAAACCGGAGATCAAATCAGATTGGTCAACGTACCAAAATTCGAAACTTCGATTAAAACGTGGAATCAGTGCAGTACCAGTGGAGAACACTCAAAAGCTGCACTGCCGCTCTTCGCATGTCGGTCCCATAGCAGTTTTTGTCAAAACTGAGTTTTACAATGCAAATGGTAGCTGATCACTCATATTTTCTTAATACTGGATGAACTCAATAACTTTGTTCTGAAAAAGTTTGGAAAGACAGCCAAATTGGTTGTCTCATCACATAAGAAGCAATGATACGAATCAAGCTAAAAATGCGATTTTCTCGGCTTGCTGATTTTTGCCATGGGACCGACATGCGAAGAGCGGCAGTGCAGGTCTCATCAACCGCTGCCTGCGGTATATAACTTGTGGCTGGTGGCCTCACAAATGGATCTCAGATGTCAATGTCATCAGAAGCCGATAGCAATAGAAATGAAGTCTGCAGGCAAGCGTTTGATTATGAATTAAATCCGCCAGAACATCGCAGCAAACGCAAATACTAAGGCGGTGGAGCGTCAACAAGTAAATTAAGCAAGCCGATAGGAATTTGACCTGGGCCCAGGTTAAGCAGCTGCCTAGAATGGAAGTCTTTCACGTTGCCCCTGTGCACCTCTAGAGGTTCCCAGGTATTTGAGTACGACGACGATGGACGTTGCCCCTTGGAACGGAAATGAAAGCGAACAAACCTGATGTTGCACAACAAGCCGGCGTGTTTTTTTGGTTCTTTTTATTTCTTTTCAGCAAAACAACAAAATCCTCTATTCCAGGGGACAACCAGGTATGAGTGCTTGATATTTAAAATACATCATAGTAATTTAAATACTCTGAGGACAGTAATCATTTTATTTTAAATACTTTTAGCGGTATTGAAAGTAATCAACATATAATTAAAAATAATTAATAAAATGGCAAAAAAATTTCAGCAGCTTTTGACCTTTCCATGTAGTTTTAACGAAAGTCAAACTTTTGTCTTTATTCAACACATATTGATTTCTTCGTGCTCCATACAATTTTAGATTCACCCTATAAGGAGTCGCCATGTGACTAATATGTATGGCATGGGGACGCATGAATCTTTTCTTTGTTTGTATGGAGTTTTTTTTTACGGTCGTGCCTATCAAACAAACACACACATTGTATGCAATTAGCTCCATGGATCATACCATATTATACGCCAAAGAATGAACTATGATTCAAAGAAGGAAAATTTCTTGCGACAAGCAAAATTTTCCCTTCTTCGTATCACAGCTCGTTCTTTAACGTTTTGAAGAATAAATATCTTACTAATTTATCAAAGCGATATCTCATTGTAATAAAATTGAAGAACGAGCCGTGATACAAAGAAAGGAAAATGATATCTCTTTGATAAAACCAATTAGATACCCTAATAAAAAATTTCCATAAACGAACGATAACCCAAATGTTTGAACTATTC